AGGGGGGTTGGAACTGGATGAGCTTTAAAGTCCCTTCCAACCCAAACCATTCTACGATTCTATAAGTCTACAAAGAAGTTTATAAATTATGCTGAGCGTTGCCTTACGAAACTCTGGGTGCCTGCTGACCTCTTCCCCCCACCCTTTAGTCCAAAAACTCTGTATTAATTGCCAAAATTTCTTGTACAACATACAGGGAACTTGGTGCCATCAAACAGGACCATACACAACACGTTGAGTGTGACAGCTCTCTGCACCAAGCCTGTTCTCCACAAGCACAGCTTGAATTCCGCCTGTATTTGGTTTAGGTGAACAGCAGAAAAGCACCCATGCTCAGGTGGAATTTGCAGTCAACCTTCTTTTAAACACAGTCTGTTTCAACAACCAAAAGTAACAGCTGGGCCACATGCCAAAAAAATTAGTCTTCCCCCAGTCTTTCCCCCCCCCCCGCCCCCATTTGCCTCAGGGGGTGAGAAAGGATTCTATTTCCTTCTCATTTAAAAACTCACATTCCCTGCTTTATGCTGCAGGCTGAGCTGTGAAGGCACACAGCTCACACCCTCTGTTAAAGCTAAATCTCTGAACAGAAAAGGAATAAAGACTAATTCAGTCAGAGAGAAGGATCATCAGTCTGACTCAGCATCATTCACGCAAGAGCAAGTCTTGCTTGCTCCCTAGACCATACATTTTTACAACAATCATTAGAAAAAATATAAACTTAGTCAAATCTCTCTGAACTTGCACACAGCGCTTCCATGTACGGAAGAAGTACCAGCAGCGGCAATCAACGGGAGATAAATCTGTCGTTGGACAGGTAAGATCTGAACTTTATTACTAGAGGTGCAGAGTTACTTACTTGAGAATGCACAAGAGGGAGGACGAGGAGACCAAGTCTTTTATGAGAATAAACAATTTTCAGAGAGGTAGAAGTGACTAATGTCTTTAAAGTGGGAAATAGACTCAGTCCTGCTGCTGTCCACTGCAGCAAGAGAGTTACAACAGCCTGACCCTTGTGAAGAAGCCTAAGGCAGATGAACAAGCAAGTTAAAAGCACCTGTGCAAGAAGAGGTGTTACAAGTGGGATCTACAGACACAGCTGAAATGATGCTCTCTCCAACAACTAAAGAAAGAACTGATTTGCACATCACTTTTCTTCACATGTAAGTGTAGTAGAAAATACTAAAGTCACATGTGGTATGTGCCCTGCACACAGCTAAGTTTGCAATGACAACTTCCAAAGTAGTCTGCTGTTTTACTAACAATAATTACCAAAGATTCTGAGAAGGAATAATGCCAGTACTCTGCAATTTAGGAGTAGTTAAAAAAACCCCCTCATCTGGCCATTTCTATGGTATTTTTAAAGATAACAAAGGACTAGTACAGCAGAGCTTTACAATAAAGTAATTTCTGCAACATGTCAGTAAAATAAGTTTTCAGTACATGTTCTAAAAGCTATTGTTCACTCAGCCTTAAAAAAGAAAGGTTGTTTTTTTTTTTCTTCCAAAAAGCCATAGCTAAAGGGGTTCACTGTAAAACCCCAACCATACCCTCTCCCCCACAGTATCACTCACAACTGATAAATATTAAAAAAATATTTTTTATGTATGGATTGGAGATTAGGCAACATCAACACAGAATTTTCTCCAACACTGCTAGGGACATGCTGAAGTTAATCATGTACAGCCCTGAATCACTGAGCTGCCACACATCTCTGACAGGCACAGAAATTCACTCTGACATACCACTGAACCTACAGGCACCAAAGGGACAAGAAGCTGCCCACATGGCATGACTCTGCTGCTGTGGGTCGCTGTTAGCGCTGCTGTGTCTGTATGCTGCATAGCTGCACGGATTACTAAAGGACCTGATCTTCTCTTCAGAAGAGCTTCTGGTTATTATTGTCTGCAATAATAAATTACAGCCAATAGGTTTAATTCCACATGTGCTGGCGGAATTAAACAGGTCTGAGTTCTTTTGAGGACAAGAAAATCCCTATTTCCAAGTTCAGAAGCAGGCCTTTAAAAGAAAGGGAGTATACTGATTCATCCAGGGTTAAATCTATTTATGCATCAGATGACAAAGATGACTGCTCTTTTCAGTTTTCTTATTTCTCTCAAAAATATGAACCCATGAAAGCCTGTGTCCAAGACTCTACACCTTGTATGTTTGACCACATAGGCTTCACACTGAAAATTAAATTCAGCTTTTTCCTTTCACTGTCAATATCCTGTCTTACAATCCAGACTGGGCTACAAGCAAAATTTCTGTGCAACACAAGGCAAGAATAAAGATACAGCAATGAAGTCTCTAAAACTATCATTCATGAAGTCTCCTAACTGTTTCAACATACACTTGTGCTGTACAATATTTTGCAAGTTTTCAGTATTTCACTCATGCTAGTAACAGATGCCAGGATTCAATGTGCTTTTTAAGCACGTACCATCTAACTACATTACCAGCTGGCAAGGAAGTGCCTAGGAACTCAATCTGCCATTATTTCCTTTTTCCTCCTGCTTGTATTTGTACCCACAAAAATCTTCTATGTGTGAAAAGAAAAAAAAAAAAACACAAAGCATTTTATTATAAAAATTGCCTGACATATGATGTTAATGATTTTACCTCTTTGTTCCCACTCTGTGGTTTGGGGCAATATCAATTGTGTCTGTTGCTGAGTCATGCCTAACCGCCAGTCCTAGGTCTGCAATGCAGCATGTTCCATTCTTTTTTACCAGTATATTTTTTGATTTCAAATCTCTGTGTGCAATCGCTGGTTTGCCTGTAAGGGGGGAAAAAAAAGAAAAAGAAATAAAACACCTGTAAAAAAAGGTAACTGCTCTTATTCTAAACCTGGTATAGATTTTTTTTGATGTTACAGAATTCCTTCCAGTTCTGCTGCTTCATATGCATCAAGGTTAACTCCTGAAATCATTCACTGTGGACTGGCTGGCTGTCCAGAAGAGTGCCTTAAATATCTACCATACTACTTCACTCTACTGCTCCTTTCCCTCCTCCTGCAAGTATTTATTGCATGCACGTGCTACTTGCCACAAAAAAAGGTTTCTAGTATCTCTGAAAATAGACTCATAGTGCTGTCTCAAATCAAAGTTAAGAAAATCCTACAGTCACCATTACTTAGTGCCTATTAAGAGGTGCTTTGTAGGAAGGATTGTTACATCACAAAACCTGGATATACCATAGAAAGGAAGGTACAAAACCTCCCAAATTCAGAAGTTCTATTAGTTCAGAAGTTAGCACAGGTCTCGAACAGACCGTTTTCAGTTCAGTCAGCTCCACAAGGGATTAGCTTTGGGTATCTGTGCCGAGTTCAGCTGCCTTCTCATGACATAAGTGAGCAGTTGTGTGCAAATCAACTACACCCTGAAAGGGTGAATGTTCTAACTAAGAAAAGAATTACAGTCGAAAGAGCTCTGTATGTGTCATTAAAAAAAACCCCAAAACTAACAGTATTATTCACATGACAGGCTGAATAGTTGTAAGATTACCTTGCGTGCCAACAATCTCCATGTGAAGATGAGCAAGACCACTGGCAGTGGACAAAGCTAATTTGATCATTCCTTCCACTGTTACTGTATACCTGTTCAGGTAATCAAAGAGCGATCCATGCTCATGGTAGTCCGACACCAACCACAGCTGAGTCCAGGTACCATTGTCTGTAAAACAACAGTCATGAGTACCACACATACAGGCAAAAGACAAACAAACCGTACCTGCCGCTTTTATGTAATGCTCATGAACTACTAATTATGTTTTGCAAGTAACCTCAGTCAGTTAGACTCTTAAATCTTTACTTCTAACATTTAAATGGCTCTGTAAGGGCTGGCACTACCACACAAGACTTTCTGAACAGCTCAGTGAGTATTCTTTCAGTTAAACTAAAAGACAAACCATGGAAAGCTGATGTTGCTATGATTCTGAGGTGAATTATTCAGGGTATCTGCCAGGCCCTGCCTTCCCCTACCTTTTCAGCTTGCTGTATGCACGATGCAAAACTAATCCCATCACTATCAGTCTAGTACAATATTCTCCAGGTTACCCATTAAAAAAAACAAAACCAAAACAAACATGTCTTTCAAGCTTTGCCCCGTAACTCTGTCAGTCTTCCCACAACTTATCAAGCCTCAGCTTGGGACACAATTTCCACAGTTACCAGCAGCTGGCAGATTTTTCCTCCTGGAGTAGAAGCTTGCAAGCAGCATTCAGACATTACTTCAAAAACAAAGTCAAATTCCACCTGCAGTGACCTCTAAGCTGCTGGCCAAAATTGAGGTTTTCAGGAGGCACAAGGGTAAAGAGAATAAAAAACCCACTGATTATGGGAAAACTAGTTTGCTATGTGATTTTTCACTGAACTACGAAAAACAAAACGGGCCAGAATATATTTGCAGATATCCCAACACACACAAATGACAGATAAGAACTAAACTGTTGACACTATTAAACTAGTGGACACAAAATGCCTTGGAAGTTTAAGCCACAGAGAGGAGGCTGTTAAAGGAATTCAGGAGAGGGGCAAAAGGTGGTTTGTTTTTTGTTGGTTTTTTTTTGTTTGTTTGTTTTTTGGGGTTTTTTTGTTTTTAACTTAAGAAGTAGAAATATACCAAGAAAAGAACAATCTTGCCACACCACAGGTTTTCCAAATTTGTTTTGTTATAAAAGCAACTCTCATGTGGCAGATCTGGAAAGTGTTTTTATAGCTAGCTACTTCTGTAGAAGAATCTTTCATCTCTTCGAAAGACTAACTATCCCATAAAAGATTTCAGTTGGACTTCAATCCTGAATTATACAGCCACTATTCCCTGAGAACACATAAGAAAACTCAGCACAAGCCAAAAAGGCACCTCATTATGTGTCAGTCCCCAAGGATTATCAAAATGCATACTCAAGAGCTAAACATGAAGATTAGGAAGGAGAGAAAAGAATTCAGTAGTTCCTATCACAAACATACCTAAACATTTTTAGTTTCCAAATAGGAGACTCTTACATTTCCTTCCCCTCTTCCTTTGGTCCCCTCAAAGAACATACTTGGCCCAGAAGAGTCAGAGGCACAAAATGCCTAGTCTACAGACTGGCAGGAACTACCTTTATAGAAGTACTTGTGCTTAACTTTAAATAAGCTCTTTGGTGCTCAGTAAAACTTTCAAGCATCCCTTCTACTTGGATGTTCCTGGGGAGGCCAGTGATGTCATCAAAATAATTTAAAAACCAGTAATTAAAAAATGCTTCAGGGTAAAAGCCTAATCTACATTCAAACAATTCTCACAAAAGAAAGAATTCTGCCTTGCTACATTCAAAGAATAGTCTCAAACAAGTTGTTAAACAGGCAAAAGCAAGGAGTCAAATGCTCTAACCAGTAAAAGACTATTAGAAAGCTGTTACCGCAGTGGGAAGCTTCTTATAATAAGCCCATAGAACTGACTCCTAAGCTTTGTGTTTTAAAAAAGGAAATTAAAATATTATTTTTTTTATATCTTCAATTATTTTACAATTAGAGCAGTTGCTTCTTTTGCTGCTTTGCATATCCAAGCATGAATATGTAGAACTCTGCATACTATTAAACACGACTTTTTCCAAAAAGAATTATGGTCTCTGGAAGGTCAATCCAACAATATTACCTTCACTGAACCAGTTTTACAGAACCATTAGAAACAGGTATATAAAAGGTGCTCTCAAATACATATAGTCAAAGAGCTCCAAAAAGCTGTAGAAGTTCAAAATAAACTAACTTAACCAGTTTAGAACAGTATCTTCACTCGGTTTTATTCTACTGCCTCATCAGTTATGACCCCACACTGTCTGAAATAATCCTCTCCCAGGCATTAGCTACACATACTCATTACTTGATTCTTTATTTGATTTCTTCTCCGGTTTCTTATGAATGGGATATCTGAGCAGGTGTCTAAACTAGAAACCAATAAGTAGGGAAATTTGTAATCTAATTTTAAGTAGTCTACCAGACCTATTGTGTCTTTTAAAGACATCACAAAATTTCTGAAGTATTCTCATTGCACTGAATGAAGATTATAGTGTTTTTGCATAAAGTTTTTGCCCTCTTAACTCTAAGTGCCCACCTAAGCAGAGAATATGCTGCTGATTACAGACCCTTCTACTTCAGTTTTATCTTACTTATTACCTGCAAGTCTTAATATTCAGTCTGGTTTTACCTTCCTTCCACAGGAGAAAATAGAAAGCTGGGCTTACTATCCATTCTGAGAGGCCATGGTTCTTTCCTGTTGTATGTCATATCTGTGGCCCTCCAACCAGATTTTAAGAAGGGACAGTGTTACATCCAAGATTGTATGAGTAATATTAATTATAGACAAGCTGAAATGCCGCAATAAGTACAATGTTCAGCTATTGGATGGGACATACTACATTTTCTTTACCTTGCTCTATTTGACAAGCTACACAATTGTTTAGCAATCTAGGCAGAACAAATGTTACCATGAACTTAAGTCTTCTTACACTGTTGACAGTAGTTAATTATTACCAAGTAATAATTAACATGACCCTGAGTATTTTTGGCTGCACAGTAAACAGCATCTGCCATGAAGCTTTCAATCGCAGGATTTGCATTATCAGGTAAGAAAAAGTAATTACACTCAGTAGTAATTACACACAGTAATTACACACAGCCTTCCATGACAAGGTAACCTCATTTAGTTCATTTACACACCATGATCAAGAATCTCAAGCAATTTCAGGATGTTCAAGAACATTACAAAAATTTATGTACGTTCTTACAAACCTGTTTAAGAGATTAATTAAGGTTACTTCATCTGTTTGCAAGAAACCTGAAAGTATTTAGACCATCCACATCACTCAAGTAAAAGGTTCTTCTTTTGCAGTTCTAACATTTAAAATTGAGTAAAGCAGTTTTCAGATTCATTGTTAGAAGACTGATTCCAGTTTGAGAAAAACATTAGTGAAGTCCAAGCAACATCCATCTTAGACAAGCTGCCGCTTGAATAAAGGAATTTATAAGAATTGCTTTATCAAATATATCATCAAGTTTCAATTAAAATTGAACTGACTGAATTCACTAAGTTCAAAATGCCTTTTTTTTTTTTCCACATTGGTACTAGCAAACCAAAAATTTGGACTTGGTACACACTTGTTTTTAAACCAAATACTAAGTTTTAAGGTACGACAGTATCGCTTGGTACCTGAGTTTTGAGCCGCAGCCTTAAGTTCCAAGTTAAATGCTTAAAAGAAGTTACAGGAACTGCATAATCGCATGTGTTCTTTAGTGTCATGTAGTGGAGCGTTTCAAAGCAGACTGGGATACGTTTGCCTTTTTTTACCATGCAGATAATGTAACAGGGAAAAAAAATAGAGAAAAAGCAGTGAAAAGATCAGATACAGATGGGATCTATAACTAGAAAACTCTTAGAACTGAGATATTCAGGGAGAAGTCAGGGAAAACACTGTTGTCGGTGGCTGGAAGAGGATATTTTAACAGACATTAAAACAGACATATTTATATTATTATATATTTAACAGACTTTTTTTAACAGATATTTTGTTAGTTAAACAGCTTGACTCTATCACTTTGAGACAGTAATCTGATTAAATTGATGAAAAGCACTTGAGCTGTGTAGATTAGCAAAATCTTCCAGTCAAATTCCTTCTTTCAGGCTAAAGCCAGAGTGTCAAAAAGAATAAATGGCTCAAACACCACTTTTCTCAAGAGGAAGGAGTTCTGCTCATTTCTCTCCTAACATCATTCTTGAGGACCTACCTCGAGGACACGGGAAGGTAGCCTGACTGAATAGAGCTTTCACCTGGGGAAGTGCAGCTTTCAAGTAAGGAAAGGAACAGCAAGGCCAAAGTATTTTAGTGCATAGTTATGTGAAAGTGTGCAGTACAAGACTTCACCTTACTCCTAACATGACTACAGACAGTTACGGTTACAGACAGCTAATCCAGGGAAACCTTTAGTACTGTCAGTGGAGGTTGCGACCACTGCTCTTCTGCTAGTAGAACAGTGTAGGTAAGTAGTCCCTGATACACTTTACAATTAAATTACAATTAAAATACAATTACAATCTAGGTTAGAAAGAACAAAACTGTTTAGGTGGTTCGGAACAAGGCAACAGACGGGCCCAGAAAGTAATTTCCCTGACCTAGCACGATTTGAAAGTTAGCATATACTCCTGGCTAAGTGAAGAGCTTCCCAGAACACAAACATGCTAGCCAGATAGAACAACTGCAGTTAAAAAAAATCATTCACTGCTTCTCAGCCCTCAAGCTGGCTTAACAGCAGCACCTACTTCCCAATAAATTTTGGAATGGGAAAACAGACGGACTGGACCAGCTCTTACAGCCTTGTGAACAGCAGACAGCTGTGGGGAAGCAGAGGAGGAGCATGTGCCATTAAGGCACGTGGAATGTCTGAACAGTGTCCTAGAACAAGGAGGGAAGGCAGCAGTTCAAGTCACAAGCTTTCTGACTCCACCATCTGAGCTGAACCCCACTGACTCAGCCGATCTATCTGCGCTTGTAAACACTTTCCAATCAATACGTGCACCCTTTACCCAAAGGCGTGCTGCCAATTTTACAACTACCAGGGCCAGCCAGATGTTCCCCAGAAACATGTTTATCTGTGAAAAACATGCAGTTGTGTTAAGAGGAGAGACCTCATTAATGCCTTTACTGCTGCAAGAACTGCAGCATGACACGGGCCCATGTTTACACCACAAACTGCGTGTCAGGAGATACAAGTCCTCAGCATTCATGATGGATGCACAAGGACCTCCTACTGAGAATTCTTCTCCATGTATGACTGAAGCTGTCAGCAAGCACTGAACTGGGATTGCACAAGGAAGTCCTTATCCTGCCGGATCTCTGCAGGCATCTTTGTAAGAATCTGTGTGTCTGAGACCCTGCAGTCTTTGCTTTGTGCATTCCAGCTAGGCTGTAGGACTCCTGAAGCACTCAAACCCTTCACAGCTACTACTGCTGTCAACTAGTACTTCATCTTGCACCTGGCACCTCACAAGCATTTATCAGTTAGCTTAAAAAGCACCTATTAACAGTTTGTTATTATTATTTAGATGCTGGTACTACTAGTCTCTAAAGCCATGCTGATACTCTTGCTCTTTTCAGAGTACCAGGACAGCACACCTGCTAAAGGGGAAGAACTACCTCCATAAAGGTCCCAATATTCTCCCATTTAATGGGAGAGGTGGCCCAAAGTATTCTAAACAAGAGTTGAAGTATGAACCTCCTTGAATATTCAGGGTTTCTGAATGCTTAACTCAGAAAGAGAATGGTGCGTATGTATTTTCTTAATGAGAGAATGCAGAAGGTTATACAGGGAATTCTGCATTGGTGGGTTAAAAATAATAATAAATAATTAATAATACTAAAAATAATAATCCAGTTTTCACATCTACTCATCCAAAATACTATTAAAAAACAGTCAGGAATAGCAACATTTTCAAAACACTTTATCCATTTTTTGTAAACCAATTACCAAGTAGTTCCCAAGAAAACAGAAGAGACTTGCCCTAAAGCCTCAAATAATGGCATGAGCTATCAAATAGGGATTTTTTTCTTTGTACATGCAGCATATTAACAATAAAAAACAGAAACAATTTTATATCACATTGTATTATATTACAAGGAACCTAGAGATGACCAAGTCAAATGAAATTTCAACCTATTACATCTGGAACCTGAGCCAGCAATCAGGAAATTATTTTAGGAACCCACTAGTTTAGGAAACCTTCTGCATACACTTTATAATTGTGCAGAGGAGGTATTTTTGGGACAAGCTGTATGGTTTTGGGGCAAAATGGGAGTCTGGTATGCTTAACCATAGAGAGATTTTGTTAAAAGTTAGAGCTGAGATATTGCAATATATCCTTTAGGCTGTTCAGTGAGACACAGTACCAAAGGCTTCTGCAGAGATGGATCTTCATTTATGCCTTTAATGCAACTCATCTACTAATTTTAAACCCAGGCTTCAGATGCTTTATTAGGTCCATCAGAACAAACCCATCCAATACAACTTTAGCCCTGGAAGTAAGACAGTTTCTAATAGCAAGCTGCAGAAAAAAAACAGTTGCCTGGTATGCAGTAGAGCTGCAAGCTCTTGGGGGTTAGAAAGTTGCACAAACATCTGTTAGGAGCAAGTTAGCTATAGCTAACCCCTTCCTGGAGAAGGGAAGTGTTCTGCACAACTTCTTGGCTTCTGTTCCAATTCCACAGAATCACATAAAAACTTGAAATTAATTTAGTGATAATTAAAAAGAACTCTATTTACATGTATACTTCAACTACACCAAAATAATTTAGAAGCTTCCCACAAAACTGAGAGGCCTTTCACAATTCGGGACGTGTGGATTCCTGACTCCTCCCTAAGGTGACAGAGTATTTGTTAATGCTTTCTTTGCAAAAAAGTCAAAGGCCATTTGTGGTGAAATAAGTAATTTCAGGTTAAAATAACTGAAACAGCAAACATTTTAGCTCCCTTACTGTAAGAAATTCAAAACTTTTGTTGGTTTTGCCAAATTTTCACATCTTAAATTGGACTGCAGGAAAACCCAAGAAACCTTCACCTGACTGAAACTGCAACAAATCAAGTTGAAGAAATTATTAAACTGTTTCTCTTAGTGAATACTTAAAGGCTTATCAGGAGAGCTTCAGGAAACAGGTACAATTTTCTTAATACTAGGAACAAAGAATTCATTCCCCTTTTCCATTTTTTTTTTTTCTAACCAGAGTTCTAAATGAGTAGCTTCTATCTCAGCCTTAAAAATCAGTCCTCTACTACCCACATTATATTAGGACAAGAGGATTAGACATGATCTCTTTTGGTCCCACACATCTATCTTATTAGGCTATCAGGAAAGTACAGGCATCCTGTAGATGTGTGAGCTGACAGCATAAGGCATCTCCTTTTTGATACCAAACTGCACCAGTATTTTAACTTGCTTGCAGAAATTACACCTCATTAAATATGGTTTGTTGGGTTTTGGGTTTGGTTTTGTTTTTTTTTTTTAAGATTTAAATAAAGCATGTTTTCCAGAAAAATGAAAAATGTACTTTTTCCTTCATTAAACCAATGAAAAGCCTGCCAAACCCTGAAATGTTCTAGTAACAATTTTTTTTTTTTTCTATTCTTAATTGAATCCTAACAACTTTATTTTCGCCTCCACTTACCATCTATTCTGATCTGGTACACAATCAGTAAAATTAATTCATAGTATCACTAACCTTTGTTGTCTGCAGCTATAAATCCAAGGATGTTTTCATGCCGTAGCATAACTGTTTGATAAATTTCTGCTTCACGAAACCACGAGCGTTCCTCTCTCGAAGAGAAGATCTTCACAGCAACTTCTTCTCCTCTCCACTTCCCTCGCCAGACTTCTCCAAAGCGACCCTTACCAATGCTTTCTTGAAGTACTATAGTTCTTGCAATTGTTCTTTGCACAAGTAAGGGTAAACCTAAAGAGAAGATTTAACATTAACCTTAAGCATCACTCTAGCAAAATAAGCACTTATCAGAAGTACTAAGTGGAAGATCCATGCTCCATTAAGATATTTCTTTTAGAATGCACATAAATTCTCTTCAGATTTTAACAGCTTATTCTGAACTGCTAACAAGCACATAGGCGAGATGCTGCCTTCAACCTTAAATGCCAGCAAAACAAGTATTCAGAGACATTATGCTACAAACTGTCTCTACAGTTGGTAAAAAGAAGGCACAAATTTCCATTCAGTTTAGAACTTCGACAGTTGTTGATCCATAAAGCTTTATTTTAATAAAAAAAAAAGAAACAAACCATGAAGCAATCAGGACCAGGACTGAGTTGGTTTGGGTTTTTGGGGTTTTTTTTGTGTTGGTTTGTTTTTTGTTGGTTGGTTTTTGGTTTTGGTTTTTTTTTGAGGGGGAGGGGGGTGTTGTTCATTTATTTAGTTTTGGATTGGTTTTTTGGGTGTGGGTTGGGTTTTTTTTTTGTTTTGTTTTGGGTTTTTTTTTTGTTTTTTTTTTGTTTTTTTACACAAGTGGGCCCATTTCTAAGTTAAATTTAAACCTTGCTTATCAGCAACACTGACTGCCAAGTTTTCACACTCATGCCCAAGTACACCAGCAGCCTCTCCATGCTCTGAAGCCACTGTAAAATAGGTAAAACAGCGTTGTGATCCAAGCTTCCCATTTTACAGGCCGTTCTTGTGCACCTCACTATAATTATATGTGAAAAACCTGCTGACATTCATGAAGGTTTTATAGCTTTGGAACATCGACATGCTTTCAACTCACAGCACCTCACAGTGTGCTTCACCAAGTTTACACAACAAACAAGCAGAGCTGGCACCCCCCAACCAGGTGGGGTTTTGTTTAAGTCTTTCCTGTTCTAACTGCAAGGCTTTCACAGAATTCTGTGGTGATACTGCACTGCAGGATTAAATCATACAACTGTCTGGGTTAGAAAAGACCTTTTAAATCATTGAGTCCAA